TAAATATATAAAAATTATATAAGTATATAAATATATTAATTATATAAATATACCTTACTAATTATATAAATATCATTTAAAATTTTTATTACCTTATTAATTAAATTATCTAAATATAAATTAATTATATAAACATAATTATATAAAATTATATATAAATATATATAAATTATTTATATATATATGTTATATAAATATATAAATTAAAATAATTTAATTTATATAATGAATTTTAAAAAAGCTTTTTAAATGATAATAATTTAAATTATTAGTATAGAGGTCACTGAAACTTCAGAAACTGAACACACAAGTGCAACCAGCACCATATCAAAAAGCAGCACATACATTGTGCTCCATTTCATTCATTAACCAAAGCCACCAAGGGCAACTGCTATTTTAAGTCCTAACAGATATTGGTTTTGCCTATTTTTGTGTATTGTATAAATGGAATCACACATCATATAGTCTTTTGTGTGTGGCCTCTTCCACTCTCAACTTCAACGGTTGATCCATATCGTTCTACAACTATGTATCATTCATTCTCATTGTCAGTATCTTATGATGTGAATGTACCACAATGCATTACTCTTCTTTTTTTTTTTTAAATGTTTTATTTATTTATTCATGAGAGTCAGAGAGAGAGAGAGAGAGAGAGAGAGAGGCAGAGGGAGAAGCAGGCCCCCCGCAGAGCAGGGAGCCCGATGCGGGACCCAATCCCAGGACTCTGGGATCACGACCCGAGCCGAAGGCAGACGCTTAACCATCTGAGCCACCGAGGCGCCCTGCATTACTCTTCTGTTGATTGGCATTTGGGTAGTTTCCAAGTTTGGGCTATAACAAAGACTGCTATTGTGAACATTCTAGTATTCCTTCTGGTGAACATATGCATTTATTTCTGGAGGCCATTTTACTTAGAAGTAAAACTTCTAAGTCAAAAGGTATGCATATGTTCAATCTGCGTGGAGGCAACCAAAGCAGATATACTGTGATCTCCCCCATCAGTGTGTCAGTTGCTCCACATTCTCACCAACACTTGTTTCTTTCAGTCACTTTAGCCATTCTAATGGGTTAATAATACTTTTAAAAAAATTATTGCTAATTTTTCTATTCAAAAAGATATCTGATGCTTAATACCGATCGACAGACCGATCTGTTTTCCTTTTTAATTCACTGCAACAGGATATCCTTAAATAAAGTACCTAATAAAGAAAGGGCTTTGTAGGAGAAAATACAGAAGTTCATGAGTTGAGAGTTTGGATTTTTAATCATGATTTGGCCACTAATGAACTACCGTCTATTTGACCTGATGCAAGTTATTTATCTTTTTGGACCTCAGGTTTTTCATGTGTAATATGACAGTACAGGACCCAAATTGTATGTTCTATTCTAAGAATCTTTCCTCCTTCTCCCCTGAAAGGTTTAGTCTGTTGGAATAAAGCATAAATGAGACTAAATAAACAGCATTGTGTTTGTGGGTTATTTGACACAATTAGCTTAGAGACTGTTTTGGGGTGGATTCTAATAGTCCCAAGAGTTTACTGAAACAGTGGAATTTACAAACTTGATGAAATAAACATATTCTTCTTTAGGTCACTTTGTTTTAGTAATAAGGCAGGCTAAATCTGGGTTGTGCTTGTTTTATTTTTTAATTTTTTTTCTTTACATAACTTATTTTTTTCTTCTAACATTTTGTTTTGGAATCTGTGGATTAAGTTTTTATTTAAATTCCAATTAATTAATATACAAGGTAATATTTGTTTCAGGTGTACAATATAGTGATTCAACACTTCCATACAACACCCAGTGCTCATCACAAGCGCCCTCCTTAATCCCCATCACCTACATAGCCCATCCTCCCACCCACCACCCCTCTTGTAACCATCAGTTCGTTCTCTATAGTTAAGAGTTTGTTTCTCAGTTTGCCTCTTTCTTTTTTTCCCTTTGCTTGTTTATTTCTTAAATTCCACATATGAATGAAATCATATGGTATCTGTCTTTCTCTGACTTATTTCACTTAGCGTAATACTCTCTAGCTTCATCCACATCATTGCAAATGGCAAGTTTTCATTCTTTTTCGTGGCTGAATAATATTCCATTATATATGTATATGTAAATGTATTACATCTTCTTTATCCATGCATGTTTTGAAGTCTTGACTTTTAATATTAGCTATGAATCACATCAGACTAACTCCATTAACACACAACTGCCTAACAACATAAAGGCCAAGAATAAAATGTTAAAGATTACAGTAATATTAATAAAATTATAACAACCATTCATTTGAGGAGTGCTAATTTTTTTAAAACATCTTCATGCAATAACTTTATATACCACTAAAAATTTCTTGGAGTGTTTAGTTTCTTCATTGCACGGTAAAACTGATTTTGTGTCAAATGCCTAAAGTTTTCTGAATACTGCATACAATACAGAACTAGCTTATATGTTGGCAGATGACTTTTGAATTAAATATGTTTTTTGTCTAAATACACTTGAAAGCATATGAAAAATATTCATTTCTTTTTGCCAGTAAATAAGACATGCAAACAATTTGTTTGAAGAGAGGCATTTCTATAAAAATTCCTTTTGGAAAAGATATCCTAGGCATAGTGTGAACATTCATATAAATCCTCTTCCTCGTCAAAAACATCATAGTGCATTACAAATGGCTCAGCTTTTTAAATTAGAAAATACAGCTTCATCACATATAAGACCTTAAGGGGTGCCTGGGTGGCTCGGTCACTAAGCATCTGCTTTTGGCCCAGGTCATGATCCCAGGGTCCTGGGATTGAGCCCCACATCGGGCTCCCCGCGCGGTGGGAACTCGCTTCTTCCTTTCCCACTCCCCCTGCTTGTGTTCCCTCTCTCACTGTGTCTCTCTCTGTCAAATAAATAAATAAAATCTTAAAAAAAAATAAAAACAACTTAAGCAAGTTATTTAGCTTTTCTGAGCTCACCTTCCTTTTCTAAAGAGAATAATAATCCTACCTTACAAGGCTATCATAAGAAATTTTTAAAAATAGGTATAAGTTCTCAGCTGATTTGTCAGCAAATGTAAGAATCCACTTACTACCATGTTGTAATTGTACATAAGACTTTAAGAGCCTAAGACATCTAGGATAAAATACCACATAGATATGCTGAAATTATTACAAAAGCATGTTTTATTGATTAAATAGAATATGGAAATGTCTAAAAACAGAATATGGTGAGATAAATTGAATGAGGTAACCCTGAGTTGAGTTTTAAGAAGTGAGAAGTGCAAATGGCATAAGAGGAAGCAAAACTGTTAGCATTAGGTGATGAGCTGGCTGAGGAATACAATGTTTTTCTCAATTGTGGCTCATGACTCCAACAGATTTTGAGTTCTCTTCCAGCTAAAATAACTTTCCTTGCTCTGGATATTTTCACCAGGAGAATTCAAATGAAGAAGAAAACAATGAGGAGAATGCAAATTCTGATGAAAACGAAGATGAAGAATCTGAGGCTGAGAACACCACCCTTTCCACCACACCTGGCTATGGAGAGGAGACCACACCTGGAACAGGGTACATAGGTCTAGCTGCAATGCAACTTCTCAAGAAGGTAATCATTCCTCAAAAATGTTAAATCTGATTTCATTTCTTCACTGAAATCTAAGGTTATCTTGACACCAAACAGAGTGTTTTATATTACCTTCATTAACTCATTGAAAAAGCAAGAGCAGATTCAATTTCCCTGTTTACAAATAAGGAAAGATCTCTTCCCAGGCCATGCTATTACACTGACTTCCTACATTACAGCAGAAGACTAAGGACAAGCATCTTGGCAATGGATAAAAGGTCCTGAAAGATGCCACTGTATTTCAGGGAAGAGGACTCTAAGACAGACTAAATGAATAGCAAAGCTAGAGGAAGCATCTCCCACAGAGAAGGCTTATTTATCAAGTACATTTTTCTCCATCAAAACCCAATGACAAAGGTACTAATCCTGAATTCTTAAAACACCCACCAAAGGTACTAATTCTGAATTTTTAAAACACCCACCAATTCTTTTGTAAATTAAGCTGGCTTCAATTCAAAAATACATCTAGAACAAGGCCTTAGGTACAGCCTGTGTTGAATGAAGGAACGGTCTTAGGTTTTTACATTTTCACACCTAGATCTGGATTCTTTCAAACTTTTCCTTACAGGCTGGGGATAGAGGACACAAGGCTACAAAAGAGGAGGAGAGTGATGAAGAAGAGGAAGATGAAGAAAATGAAGCAGAAGTGGATGAAAACGGGCAAGGCATAAATGGCACCAGCAGCAACAGCACAGAGGCAGAAAATGGCAATGGCAGCAGTGATGGAGACAATGGAGAAGAAGGTGAAGAAGAAAGTGTCACTGAAGCCCACGCAGAAGGAACCACAGTGGCTGGAAAGCAGGACAGTGGTGGCTCGAAGACAACAACCTCTCTAGATGGTGGGTTTGAACCCACGACTCCACCACTAGAGCTCTACGGGACTACCACCCGACCATCTGGGGAAGCCACCCCCACCGGGTATGAGGGAGAGTACGAACAAACAGGCACTAATGAATACGACAGTGGGTATGAAGTCTATGAAAATGAAAATGGGGCACCTCGCGGGGATAATTACCGAGCCTATGAGGATGAGTACAGCTACTACAAAGGGCACAGCTACGACGGCTACTACGATGGTCAAGATTACTCCGACCGCCGCCAGTGAAGGGCCGGCCTGGGGCGAACGCCTCTGCGCTGGCATTCCACGCGGCCACACTTCCGAAGTTCAACTCAGGAAGGTGAAATGTGACAGTGTGCATATCACAATGTGGAACGGTGCTACTGTTCCAAAATAATTCTCTGTAATTGCTTCTGCAAGGAATGGGTTTCTTGTTGCTTTTCCCTGGTAGGTTATTGAAAGGTTATTGTAAATCAGGGCCACTTACACCAATCCATGAGATTGAGTTCAATTACATGTTTTGAGGTTGTAGTTTTAGAAATAGTATTCTTAACATGTTTGTACTCCTAAAACTCTTCATGCAAGAAGTGCTTCTAAGAGTTAACTTTAATGACACTATATACAAAATATGTGTAGTTCTTTAATCACACTACCTATCCAACACTGTATATTATGTTTAATTATCCTCTTCACGTATTTTTATGTGACCTTTATGCATATTCTATCTATGGGTTTTATCACAAATAAAAATGCAATCTTTCAAATATGTTATAATTTTTAAAAAGAGAAAGATTCAGAATTGAAAAAGATGAATCCAGTAGGGGACAACAAAGCTGAAGGATAAAAGCTTATTTCCACTATGGTTTAAAACTCAGAAGAACTCGTAAGTATTCTGTCATGGATAAATCAACATAACTAAGATTTTGACACACTTGTGGCACAGTCAACCATATACATCAGGAGAATAAATGGCTTTTATTAGAGTTGCCAGATTTAACAAAAATATAGGATGCCTAGTTAAATTTAAATTTCAGATAAACAACGAAAAACTTCTTAGTGTAAGTATGCTCCATGCACTATTTGGCCTCTGTGATTTATTAGGGACATACTTATACTAAATAAATCATTCATTATTTCTCTAAAATCCAAATTTAATGGAATATCCTATTTTGTATCTGGCAACCCTACTCCTTTTTGATTTGGTTTTAGGTGGGGTAGGGTGTAGGATGGAGTAGAAAACTCTTACACATACACACACATTCACATATCCACACACATGCACAGCATTAAAGAGTGGTTGCAGACATCATGACATCAGGATGCTTCACTCCTAAATACTTCAATATTTAGTATAAAAACAAGAAATTCTCCTAAATAGCCACAATACCATTCTCATTCTCATTCTAAAGAAATTAAACACTGCTATGATAGTATTTTGTAATATGCAGATCATATTCACATTCTCCCAATTATTCTAATGATATCATTGATTACTAACTCATTTAATCCTCACAAAATTCTATTGGGTAGGTATTTTTGTCATCCCCCATTTTATTGATGAAGGAACTGAGTCAGGCACAAAGAGATATACAGCTTGCACAAGGTCACAAGTGGCAAAGCTGAGGGTAAAACAAAGGCAGACTGGTTTTAGAATCTGTGTTCTTTACCATTATGCTATATTCATTAGTGTATATTTATCAGTAATGGATGTTGAGCCATAAGTGAGCAGGAAATCTTTAACGATGAGAACACTGCTGAAAAATAAGCTTTGTCCTATATCACAATTTTCTTAGAACCAGCCAGGTTTTATGACTTGGGTCCTAAATAAAGAATATTTTCAAAGCAAGGGTCTTCTCATATTTTGGCATATGTTTTTACATGCCGTGCAAAGTGCATGAACTCTCGAGTTAGATGGGCTGGAATAATGGTATTATTGAGAGTAAATTAATATCCTCCTCTAGTCCCCATCACCTCATCTCCTACATGTGGAGCGTACACAGTAGTTGCTGTTCAGAGCCCAACATGTTTATGATGTGCTAAGAATCATCATCTCTTTCCTCTCCACTCCCCTTCCTTTCTCAATCTTAACACCTGGGTGCATCGATTGTTATATAATTACCTGGTCCTTTGGGAACTCACGGAACATTTTTTTCTTGCCCTACTGCCGCTTTGTAAACAAAAGCTTTTGACGAGATTGAGGCCTTGGGAACAGTCGTCAGATCAGCAGCAGCATCAGAAATGCAAATTCTGGAGCACCACCCAAGACCTACTCAATGAGAAACTGGGAGTGGACGGGTGATTCTTGTGCACCTTAAAGTTTGAGAACCACTATTTTCATTAATATAGTAGCTAATGTTTATTACACATTTACTGTGTGCCAGTTCCAGTCTAAGCATTTTACATATATTACCTCATTCTCAACAATTACTTGAAAGTCTACTACATTTTACAGGTAAGGAAATGAGTTACAGAGACATTTAGTAACTTGCCTGAGATGATGCAGCTGTTAAGTGGGGGAAAGGAATCTGCTCCAAAGTCCACACCCCATATATCTCTCACAGCTTCTTTCTTATAGAGAAAAGTCACCCTGTTAAGATAAGTGAATTTAATTGGGAATCAGAAGAGGAAATTTTGGATGAGAACACATATAGCAACCCTAACTATGTTTTTACTTCTTTGCCCTTTGGTATTAATAAGAAGATATAATTTTATAGGTTTCATGTCATGCTCAGGTGATCAAAGAAGGATCTCTTTGAGAACAGAGACTGTTAGTAAACAAGGAAAATATCCTTTCATGCTGCTGTTGAAATAGGACAAAACTTTGTCAAGCATTCCCCAAAAGGCAGTGTGATTCGTGACAGGGCCATGAGGATTGCAACTGCAGCTGCTAGGTTTGCATGTCATAACTCCACTGATTCAGCCAGTAGGGAGACAGCGAGCTCAAATGGAGTCAAACAGTTTATTACTTTCACAGAGAGCAAAAGCAGGATCAGCATGGTGTCAGTTCCTGGTCCCACAAGATGACACTGAGCCGAAGGGGCCAGAGGAGAGCAGAGGTAAGTAGGTCATTCCACTGTGAAGGAGCTAGCTCTCACATACGGCTAAGTAGAGAGACAAAGAAATCTGCAGTGGAGACTTAAAGGGGGAGAGGTGGAAAGTCCTATGCTCAACTGAAACCAGGGAGATGGATGAGAAATAGCCTTGCGACCAACTCCCAGAAGATGGAGAGGTAGGAGAGGAACTGCCTCTAGAATTTCTGTACCAGGCTGCTTATCACTCCTTTCTCCAGGAGGTGGTATAGGGTACTTGGCCAAGCCTCAGGTCAGACTGCAGTCAACCTTCACCCATGTGGTCCATACAGAGACATGGCAGGTTGTGAGGAAGTGGCGGTAGAGTTCTTCGCCTACACACCTCTTCCAGATCCCAAAGTCTGGGAGGCTTATGAGTTTCTTGGATCATGTAAAGAAGGCTGGTCACACAGGGGAGTTTGGATAAACTAAGAAAGGTCATAGGGCATGAGAAGGATTACTTCTACAAGATGATCCCCAGCAGACATGTGGGGCCTCACCAGGCAATGGTACACTAGAAGTCTTCTCAGCACAGGCCACACTGTGGGGGTGGATGGTCTGTGGCTATCAGAGTGGCCACAGGGCAGCTGCATCTTAGAGATGACTCTGTCCCTCCCCCTGTGGTCACTCTTGGTCCCATCCCCTCATTTCAAGCCCTTCTTACCTCCTTCAACATGATGCCACAATCAATATCCTCTCTGGCTGGCAGTCAGGTAACCCATATTTAATCAGTGGGGAACACTAAATATCACCCCGCCCCCCTTTTCAATTTACTATCGTGACATATTCTATACCCTGTTTCTTTCATGACGAACCCCATTGATTTTCTACTATCCTTTCTTCTCTTAGCAAAATTTTCACTTCACAAAACTAAAGCTTTGCTTTCAAAATGATTGTTTCTAGGAGCTTCAAGAGCCTATTTCTGAAATGAAAAGCCAAACTTTAACTTTCTTTCCATTTGGATTCCTTTTATTAAAAAAACAAAAAACAAACCCAGTCTATCTCTAGGCAAAGTGAATCCCTCTGAACGACCAAGAGAAGAAATAATCAAATTGGGAGAAAAGCAGAAAAATGTAAAAACACTTTTTTGAAAAGGATAATCTAATGTCAGGCAATATGAGTCTCACTTTAAAAAAAGAATCAATACTAGTTAAAGGGAAACCAGGAAGCAATCACTCAGACTCATGTTTATCCAAGTGCAAATAGTTGTAAATACTTTCTGCCCTTGTATCTTTAAACTATTCAGTGGGTTAAGAACTCATTAATTGGATTTGTTGGTTTCCCATGCAAATTACTCTGGTCTTTCTCAGGTTTCCCCCCTTGAATTTATGACCCCTAGAGTCCCAAAAAGATAAGACCTGCAACGGTGTGTACAGAACTTGTCTTTTCTCTTTTTAAAATACAAATTTAACCTCCACTATTTTAGTCAGGGGTCACCAAACTTTTCTGTAAAGCAGAAGTCAGTAAACTTTTTAAAGGACCAGTTAGTAAGCATTTTTGGCTATGCAGTCCATATGGTTTCTGTCACAACTACTCGAATCTGTCATTGTAGCAATAGCAGACATAGATGTATGTGAACAAACAGACATGGCTGTGTTCCAATAAAACTTTATTTGTGGTGATGGAACAGATTTGGTCCACAGCCCATAGATTGCTGGCTCCTATTTTAGATGATTATATAAAGTGATAACCACGAAGAACTGTTTAATTTTAAAATTTAGCTGCTGTTAATAACTTAGGCTATAAACAAACTATTAATGAATTCACTTTTTTTTTTAACTTGAAGTTTGGCCCTTTATTTCAAACTCTACTTTAAAAATTCAGTAAAATTTCTGGCGCTTGATACAGCAATCTGAATTGTCTCCTTTGCGCAGCTACTTAATAAAATGCTTCTGACATGTCCTGGATCTAAATACATCAAGAAGTATTACCTTGATAAATAATATGTAAAGATGATTTTTTTCACTACACTATCTTTTGAAATTTTGTGACAGATTATCTGCTATGTCTCACCCCTTAGCCAGGTAGGAAAAGCTGGATATTGATTCTAGTTGTACAATAGTATAGTAATGTAAAATCAACTGCACAACATAAACCATTACTTATGCTGTATAGAATGGGTTGTCATCAAATCCAGTACAGTGATGGTTAATTCTGAGTAAACAGAGGTGTCCATTATTTCTAATACTTAGTGAGATT